TGTTTCACAATTAGCCAATAATAACGTGTTATCCAATTTCATGTGACGACCAATCACGAGAAAGTTATCCTATATGTTTTACGGTATAACCAATCACAATCCAATATATGTATAAACACGATGTGCATTTTATAATAAAAATCAATACATTGATTGGATACAATATTGTTCTTATCGTTCCGGACTTAAAACAGTTTCAGCTTTCCTAATGTATGACATGCTCTCTGACTGTTAAATTGATCTCAAAAACTAGCCAATCAGGAGAAATTCTGCATATAATATCGTGATTTGGTCGGACTGATCCGGGTTAATCAAAATTTCGTGATTCAATTGGTCCAATTGGTCGAAATCAATGGTAAAATGTTTTTTAAAAAGGGTATTTACCGTCTTGTTATTTTCTTATTCTTTATTTACAGTAATGGTTCCTCAACTTCCACCTGAGACTTATCAAAATGTATTTAGAAATCTTGCTTCAGACACAAGAACCTTAGCTTCTGTTATATTAGTTACCTCGTCCGCCTGGAGTTTGGTTTGGTGTGTTAGTCGTAGCAATAGGTTGAACTTGAGTTTGGGTGGTAGATTGATTCTGATCTTGGTCTGCATTTTGATCTTGTATTTGATCTAAAGAATGATCTTCTGGTTGAGCTACAGACGTAGATGTTGTAGGTTGACTTTGTACTTGAGAAGTAGAAGAAATATCTTGAAAAATATCTTGAGAAACAGGAGCTGCAGATAGGTCTTGTGTTTGAGACGTAGAAGGCGTAGGTTGGTTTTGTGTTTGAGATGCGTTCCCTTGATTTTGATTTTGGGTTGCTACCTGTTGAGGTTGAGGCTGCTGTTGAGCCACTGGTTGGACAACTGGGGCACCTTGTACTTGATATTGGATTTGTGCTTGGTGAAAAGACTGTTGAAATTCTCTTTGCCTTCGGAGTATTTCTTGCTTTTCGGCTTGAGTAACCCATAAAGAGCTTCTTGAAAGACGATTATAAGGGAATTCTAATAATTCCAATGTCAACTCTTCAAGGTTGGAAAATCCACAAAAGTCATCCAGAAGAATAGAGGTGCGACCGATGATAGAAACTTTCTTGATCGTTTCGGTTTTGGATTGAATTGCTGATATAATATTTGGTATATTCTCGTGTGCATGAATTTTAACATGCTGTAGCTTGGTTTGAGCATCTATTAATGCTATTAATCCTTCATTGTCATCTCCAAGTGACGTAATAGTCAAACTTTCAAGTTCCTTGACGACTCGGGAAAATGCGTGAAGTAATTCGATGGGAATATTTCCTTTAAAAAAATATAATGAGTTGTAACTTTATTAAGGAAAGAATATATGAGAATGTGTGATAATATTCTTTATTCACCTCCATACTCAAAACTTTGTAATTTGGACAGACAAGCCTCGGCACCAGGAAGCCCACATAAATCAATAAAAATTGGATCGATAGATCGAGAAGGAATCGCAATTATGTAAGGACTAAGTGACGGGTAACCGATGTATTGAATAGATTTTAAGTTCGCACATTGACTGATAAATAATTTGCACAATTCTTCAAGGACTAATGTGACATGTGCTTTTCTTGTTTCTTCTGAAATTGTATCTGGAAACATTTCATTGACTGCATCTTGCAAAAGTCGGTAATTCAAAGTCTGTAAGTATGATGCATAATT